CTTTGTGCTGCTTCCTGCCGAAGGCTTCAGCCCACACCGTGGAGCTAAACAACATGTTCGGCCAGATCCAGTCGCCGGGTTATCCAGACTCTTATCCGAGTGACTCAGAGGTGACTTGGAACATCACTGTTCCAGAGGGGTTTCGGATCAAGCTTTACTTCATGCATTTCAACTTGGAATCCTCCTACCTTTGTGAATATGACTATGTGAAGGTGAGATTCCCAAGGTTCCCTAGCTGGGCCAGGCTTTCTGCTGGGAGTTAGAGAAGCCTAGATGAATTGGACACTGCCCTTAGCCTCCTGGGGTGGCATAAAGTGAGGGAGGCACACAACATTCCAGGGTAAGGAGCAAAAGTTGGGATGATATGCCAAGGGCAAGCTGGGCGGGTGCGTGCAAGCAGAAAGGTCTATAAGGGACACTGAGGTCAGTAGAGTGTGATTCAGCCAAACACACATCCTTCTTTCTTTCTGTTCCCAAATTCTTTAGTGATTCCACTAACCTCTGTTCCAAGGTCATCTTTAATTCAGCAAGCAGGAAAGGGCAGAAACCTCAAAGTAAGCAGTAATCCAACAGAAACAGGGCCATAATTATGCCAAAGTTGAGATATTTCGAAGCATTGCCCAATTTCTGAAATACTGATCAAGTGTTTGGGAAGTATAGGGTACATAGTAACAGACCGTGGAGGGTAAGGGTGGCAGGGTGGGCAGAAGGGAGATTCTTTGGGGCCTTGAATGTCATGACAAGGAGTTTGTATTTTATCAGCAAAGGGCAGAGACAGGAAGAAGAGAATTACTATCAGAAATGATTGTAAAAAAATATATAGGGCAGGAGCGGGAGAGGATTACAACACCACATCAAAACAACGTATCCTGAAATGTAGAGAAAACCCCCCAAATGTCATGGGTGGGGAGCTGTTCTGTTAAAGTAAGGCTGGAAAAAGTCAGAATATTTCTAAGAGATCAAGTTTGCTACAGTTGCGTCTAGTTCTAAAAGATGGGGAGACCAAAGAACCTACTTTCTAAACTCAATCTGTCCTCCTGGAAGAAGCTGTCATCAAACAACTCCAGAGCAGGCTTTATGCATTTTTAGTATTATAGTAGTCTCATTTCCCACAGCCAGTAAGTCAATAAAATTGAACCTTGTATTAACCATAGTATTTGATCAACAGCAAAGAAGTGAATTCACCAAATGTTATTATATATGTTAATCTCATTCAAACTTTAAAACAGTCATGATAGGAACTACTACCCCATTTCACAGGCAAAGTAACAAACCCAGGAAGGTTAAGCAATTCACTCAATGTGGTACATCTGGATAGATCAAAGTCTCAAACACGTGTCTTTGAGTCCCATGCTCTTTTGACTACACCAAACAGCTCACCAAGCCCTGGCTGGGAGGAGGCCACATAAGAGAGGCTGCAGCCCCTCCCATGCTTCATCTCATTTATGTGAAGGATTTTTCCACTGCATATGTTGAGTCTGCATTCAAAATCCTTTGCAATAGGTTTCTACATCTAAAAATTGTCCAAAATTGGTGCTCCAGAGGAGGTTTTTTTTGTTTTGTTTTGTTTTTTAAGCCAGAGTTTTACTCTGTTGCCCTGGGTAGAGTGCTGTGGCATCACAGCTCACAGAAACCTCAAACTTTTGAGTTCAGGTGACCCCCTTGCCTCAGCCTCCCGAGTAGCTGAAACTATAGGTGCCCACCACAATGCCCAGCTAATTTTTCTATTTTTAGTAGAGATAGGGTCTTGCTCTTCCTCAGGCTGGTCTCAAACTCCTGAGCTCAAGCAATCCACTCGCCTCAGCCTTCCTGAGTGCTAGGATTAGAGGCATAAACCCCTGCACCCAGACAATAATTTTTTACTTTAATCTCAGCAGTATTGACTTTTTTAACCAGATAATTCTTTGCTGAGAAAAGCTGTCTTGAATATTATAGGATTTCTAGCAGTGTCCCTAGCTTCCACTCACTGGGTGCCAATAGCAGCTCCCTCGCCAGTTGTGACAACCCAAACTGTCTCTCTCCAGGCATTGTCAATATCCCAGGATTGCTGCTGTCTTGGCAATGCTCCTATCAGAATACCCTGTGCTAGGGATGATGGGATTGGAATATTAGTATACAAAAGATCTGGTGCCTTCCAAAGAGAGATGAACCTAGAAAAATGATACATGATACACATGATACAAAAGAGTAATGACAATGAAAGACTGACAGATGGAGTCAGAATGAGAAGAGGTAGAACTGGGGCTGTAAGAGTTGGTAATCTACAATGACATAAAATTTCCATAAAATTTCCAAAAATTCCATAAATTCATTAAAAATGGAGACAACTTCTCAGAGTCGTGAGGATCAACCAGAGAATATTCGCTGAGACCCTAAATATGTATCATCCTAAACTGCTCTGACAAAATGGTCCATTGTAACTTCCATGATATAGTCTAGCCTCTGACACAGCCAACTCTAGGAGAGGAAAGAATATGGGCATGGAGCATTAGGTTAAGATGGATTGTGTATATGGAGCATTAGGTCAAACAGAACCTCCTAGCCCATCCCCGTAACCAATGGTGGTGGTCTTAGAACCATGGAATTTTCTAATACTTGGGTTGAGAGTGATCTTAACCCGAAGGAAAATGACAAAGTATTGGTTTTATTTTGATAGTGAGTTCCATAGATTTAGGCAAGCCTAGATACGACCTTTCTAACATTTCCCCCCCTCCACTTTCGAAAAGTCAACCATCCAGAAATTTTATCCATACACACACTTGCTTTTATTAGTAGCTGAGGCTCAAGACCACAGAAATTACAGATTTTTTCCTTAGTTTTAGCAGTGACTTCTCATAATTACTCCCTTTCTCCTCCCTACGAATTAACTTTCAACTTTATATGCGTTGAACAATTGTTTCTCACAAGTTTGACTCTGGTTCAGACAGAAGATAAATTTAACCTTGTTAGAACTCATTTATCAAGATGATAAGCATGCAAGAGAAGATTTAACTCATTCCTTTGCTCTAAATAAATTGAATCTCCTGGCAAGGCAGATGAAGCAGCTGACATAGCGGCATTTTGTTTGTGGGGAAAAAATGGCAAGGTATTTTCAAGGACAACAATAAACTCTGACGGCCACATAAGACCCTCCATTAAATATACTGAAATAGATTTGTATCCAAACCTTGTCTTTTCTGGCTGGAGGATATGTTGGAAACGGATTGATGATTTCAAACCAGGGTGATGAGACTCCTTCCTAAAACCCCAGGTAGATGGACCTGTGCCCTCGAAAAGGGGCAGCATGCTCCTAGGGTCTTGGCTGGGATTTAGGAAATGCTTTTTCTAATCCCAGATCTGTCACTCACTCCCCAATTGATCTAGAGGGGACAAGAAAGTCTGACAGCGCCTTCTCCGCTCTGAAATTAGATGGGTGGCTTCTGAGCATAACAAAGAAGCAGTCTACTTGAGGCAAGTCAAGAAAGAACTGACTATCTGAACTGCCCTACAGTTCTGGAATCTGTGAGTCAGATACGTTTTTCCAGTTCCTTTGGAAAAAGAGATTAACATGGTGGCGGCAAGGGTGGGTGTGAGGTGTATTTCTCCATTTGTGCCTGCTCAGTTGACTCTATCCCAGAATGGCATCACAGTATACGCATTAGCCTCCTGCAGCATTTCCAACAGCCGTGGGGGCGAGTGGGCCTCCCTTGACAGGACCCTGCAGCTGTGCTGGCTGATGACTAGTGATCGTCCTCCCCAGGTCCCCCACCTCCCTTTGCCTACACATGCTCTGTGGTTTCCCTCCCAGAGTTGAGCACTCCCAGAATATCAGGCTTCAGGGGCCCTCTGGAGCCTTTTATAGTCTCAAGTTGTTGTTATTCTTCAAATACTTTGTGTCCAATGAATATTTTCTTCTAACAAATCTTCAGTTGGCCCCAAGATAGAAGGCAGACAGACATGGAGCTGTTCTAGGGGAAGCTGGCTCTGCTTGCTCCCCCGCCTTGGTTACCTGAAGCTCCTTGACGAATTATGCTTTGAATTTTGTGGCTCTGGTCAACTTCCCATGGGACAGAAAAGGGTATTGAAGGTTAGAGTTCAGGATGACCACTCTGCCTCTGAAGTCTCCAACCCAGAAGCCTTCCACACTTAGCTGAAAGCCTCTCACTTTTTCAAATTGCCTCTCTCACCTCAGCCCCGAGAATATGAACTTTTTCTGGCTACCATTAATAGAGAGAACATTTTCCTTTCCCATCTGAATAAAAGCCTGAGCAGGCCACAGGACCCCTGGGTAAATCAACATCCCTCTCCAAAATTCTGTTTTTTCATCTGTTCAGTGAGAGGATGGGATGAGATGATCCCTAAGGTCCCTTAAATGCCAGACTTCTAATCCCAATCTTTCCTGCCAGAACATTCCAGATGATTCCACTAAACCCTCATTATCTCAGTCAGGGTAATACCAGAAAACAGAAATAGTATGTTGTGACAGCCACTTCTCAAATTTCCATGTCCATAATCATGCCAATTAGAGTTGGGGACACCTTGATGGCATGTTATTTGGGTAGAAATTCCAAACAGATCATGTCCCCGCTGTCCTTTACCAAGAAAATTTAAATATTAGGGACTTCCTTGTGGTAGGATAACATTCCCTGTTTTGAGGCTCTTTTGCTCTATCGCTCAATTCCCCTGGCAGGCCTAGGTAGGAGTGGGTTTTAAGAACCTTCCCACTCATGTGAACCCTTTCCAGTCCACTCCAAGCCCACAACTGGCCTTCCAACCCAGGCCCATCAGGCTGATGCTGTGGGACCACTGACACTGAACGTTCATAAGCATGAAGAGGAGCAGGACCCCAACCAAGGCTGTGGTCCAGATGCTCACATTGGTGGAGCTTCCTCCCTGGCCTGATTTCCCACAGCTCTTGGTCTTCAAGGCCCATGCACATCTGCACAGCAACATCTGCTTCTTTGGAATGTGGCTGCAATGTGTGGCTTCCTGCAGTGCACGGATGAGGCATATGAATCACAGCTAGTTAAGGCTGCCAGCAAGTCAGAGAGCCAAGAGACCTGGGTTCTGGGGTCATTCTATACTAAATAAACTTGGGTGAGTGACTACCCTAGAGGGACACTGCACAGCCTCCTTTGTCAAAACACGGAATTAACCCAGATGTTCTCTAAGATGCACCAAGCCCTGATATTCTGTGCCTCTAAAGACCTTAGAAATCAGCATCCAACTCCAT